GAGACAGGGCAAATCATGTAACAACTGACCAATTCTGCCATCTTTCCTAGAATTGCCCTGACCACTCTTGGGAGGCAAAAACATAGAATCTAATGTCAAGATGTTCCAGTAGAAAAGCAGTTTCAAACTCCATGGAATGAAACCCCAACCACAGGCTCAGATATGACAAGATGTTCATAAAAGAGCCTGAAGTAGAGAAATGGGAACAAGAATACAATGGGAGACTTCTGCCTGATATTCAACTAGTAAACACTGCTACAACTTCTTATCAGAGTTGTTCTGTTACTTGGTATTACAATTCCTTGAGCTGGGACTTTTGAAGAAAAATGTCTCTAGTTATTTCAGTCAAACCTGAGTGACCTGAGAAAAGTTATATACAACTAATCCAAACTTTAGGCTTGACAAAAAATTCTCTACTAGTTACAGTTACAGAAAAAGTATTGGCCCTTTAAGGAAATCACAGGCAGTTCATAGCTTGAATATCTGAAAAAAAATCATCCTGATACTCAACTGTTCTCTCACGCATTTGAAGATTAAATTAATACAAAGATACGCATCTTATTTTATTTCCAGACATCAAAAATAACACTTAAACTGTTTTCTTTAGTCCTGTAACTCCCTAAAATAAACAGCCACCAACATGTCTCTCTAGCACCAGAGTTTTAAGCAAATAAGACTTGGACACACAGGCTACCAATATCACATGTCTTCGATAAACATTCACACACAAAAGGTAATCCTTTGTCAGCTGTAAGTACACATCCTCACTCACAAAAAAATAGTTATATCTACCTGTCACAGATGGGAAATAAATCCCTACAAGCATTGTGAAGTAGGTCATGATGTCTGTAAAAACATAAGGGAGTCCACCCAGTTTTGTCTCTTCTGATCCAGCAACAGATGGCTGATGTTTTTTCTCAACTATTGATCCTTTTTCTGAATAGGTACTCCACAGATTATCTACAAGGGGGTAGAAACAAGAGCCAGTGTCACCTCTGTTTCAGGACATTAAATGGTGAGAAGGTAATCATCTTATGAACCAGATTACTTTTTTTACATGAAAATCATGATGTTTCCCAACATTTCCTTATTAAGGCAGTAATGGAGCAGCAATACAATCAATACCAATTGTAACTGGTGGACATTCCCACTGTATCCTATCAGAAATGCAGTGGTGGTTTTCTTTCATCAAAGAAAGATTTAGTTCTAGAATTAAATTCTAATATATTTGTAGAATGTCCATTTACATTGCACAGACATATGGATGCATTATTGGGACATACTGTGAAAAAGTAAGGAAGCTTATGTGCAGGTTCAGGCAATTTTAGCATATATTCATATTTCTTGTCTTATATTTTGAGGAGCAGGTAAAAAAAAAAAACAACAAAACAAAAACTACTTTGTAGTAGTTTGAGTTCTTTGAGACCTGCTGTACAGAACAACTGGACAACAGTTCAGGACTCAGCTGTTCAACAGTGAAGGTATTCCACATGGTGACAAAAGAGAGTAACTGGACTCTAAAAAAGAACTGATAAGCTGAAAAATCCAAAGCAAGTGAAAAACAGCAGAATGTGGCTCAGATTCTCCGGCAAACTAAGGATGTTTATTCCATGAAGATAGACAGGTCAAAGAACCAGTAGCTTCTGAGAGCTTACATTTGTGGAAACACTGACTGTGCCCCTTGGCAAGATGGTGAGAACACCCAATACTGATTCTTACTTTGAAATGAGGTAAATTGTACCGCGACATGTGAGGAAACAAAGTAAATACTCTCCCTCCCTGTCAAAGAGCCAACGGATTTTATATCACTGAAATAAACAATTCCCATGGACTGCCAGGATGATGGATCTGATAGCCAATTTTCAGCCATCCAGTACAACTTAAGGAAATTACATATTCTATGCCTTCAAAATAGCAAAAGGTTACCTTGAGCACAATAGGAGATTGACTCTGAATCTCCGTAAGTGCTCAGAGATAGGGTACTTGTATCCAGATTTGTAACATAAATATTACAGTTGGTAAACATATATGGAAGCATGTATAAGAAATAGGAGACAGCAGAACAAAGATTAAAAGGAAAGTTAAGTATTAACTGCTATAGAATGCTCTGTGTGTTAGTTCATTCAAATGAAGAGGAATAACAAATTCATCTAAAGATATGACCAAAGCCATAAAAACAAGAGTTAAGGAAAGAAAAGAATTTTAAATTTCAGGAATTTTAGCAAAGATCTGAGGAGTGACATAAAGCAAGACAGAATCTCCAAATTAGCATCCACTCCCTATGGAACATAAAAAGAAAGTCCAAAAATCAGTTTGCCATTGCAAATCAAAAGCACTAAATACTCAATGAGGATTCAGCTTTATTCAGTATGACACAAAAGTGCTAATCCAATCAGACTTGAAAGTTAGTGTACATGTTCAAAATGAATGTTATGACCCAGTGCAGCTGGAATCCCAAGCTGCCACAACTGTACAGAAACATAAACATAAGAAATTCTATACACTTAGAACATCTCCTGTCCAAATGCTAGTCTGGAAGCTAGAAAGACTGTTTTTCTCCAAACCCATCACTAACTTTCTGTATCACACTGGACAAGCCACAGGACTTCATTCCTCAATGGACCACCTATAAATTGGAAACAAGTCCTCCCTCAGGAGAGTTTGAGAATGTATTCATGAACAGCTTATTGAAATAAGTGTATCTGGCATACAAAGAGCTAAACACTTTTAAAAGTTAGCTGTCATAAACACCTTCCTACTTTTTTTTGTTTGAAAGAACAGCGGCTTTGAAGGAGTGCCTATACAACTCCTGTGACCCCCAGATGAATGCATGTGATACTAAGCTTCTAAAACCAGATGGAAACTTTAAAGGAGGAAGTATGGTCCAGGTAGCAATCTTTCACACAAACAGATTAAAACTAAAGAAGTAGCAACAGGCTAGACCACTACATTACTGAACAGATACAGGCCAAACTAATAATGTTCAAAAATTTTTAAATCACTGTGCTTTCTGACTTACCAGTGAGAACTCCACTCATTATTCCTGGAATCCCTTGAATTTCTGTTACATTATTGAGAGTAAAGTAGTCATCACATGTAGCATTAAGCAAAGAACTATCACAGAACAGGCGCCACAGAGATGTAGTCTTTGTTTCATTATTGCTTTCAGTAAATTTAGCACAGACATCAAAGTTGCGTTTTGACAATGTACGGTTTCCAAGAAGACAGATACTATAAACAAAAATAAAAAATGATCCTTCAAAATAGTGTTATACATTAAACCTTTTTTTTGTCCAGAGATCATGATTCATTCAGTCCTAAAAGAAAGAAGTAATACTTTGTATACCTAATAGAACAATGAGCCTGACCAAGAAAATACAAAAGTAAGATTAAGCCCTTTTCTAGCAAATAAATTTTAGATGGCCCTCAAAAGTATTAAAATTCAAAAGGCAGGAAATAAGCCATGAGGGATAAACAGCAAAATATAAAAACATTGATGGGAGTACAAATTAATATAAATTAAAACCTCAGAAATTAAAGAAAATTTAACAACTCAGCAGTTTGCAAAAAAAAATTCCTAACAGCAAAGAACATTAAGGATCTAGGAACATTTAATTGCTAAGCTACAGAAAAGATGTTTACGAGATATCTATTCCAATCTTGCTTAATAATGAAATGATATATGATATCTTTGAAGACAAAAGAAGGAACATCAAATAAAACATTTGTGTTAGGCAGATAAATCCAAAACCACATAGCGTACATCTAATAGTTCTGAAGGAGCTTAGTTAAGAAGCTGACAACAATCAGTAAAAACATACCACTTGGCATTAGAACAAGTATACTAAGCCAAGCAGAATACTGACCTAGTCACTATCAGAAAAAAGGATATTGTACTAAGCATAGATGCCTCAAGAAGAGTACAAAACACCAGTACAGCTTCAGGGTATGGCTTCACATGGAAGTTGAGCAGATTTAACAGAAAGCTGCTGCTGGAAAGATCATATTTTCCTTTTAATTGCTCATTTTTCCTTTTAATTCTTATTGAATTGGTGACCCTAGAGCAGCAGGGTGAGCTGATTCAATCCATGGAAACATCTTCCAGTTTGATTCAACTGGGAGATAACAAAGTAAACTATTTTACCATCTTTACAACAGCCAAACCTAGCAGAGGTTAGTGATGCCAACCTAACTAATCAGCTAAGTGGAAGTCGGTCTTTTTGATGACCAGCTCACCACCAGATCAGTTTTACCCTAGTATAAAACCAGTCTTGAGTTTCTCATTTTGAGGCAGATTGCCCCAATACAAACAATTATATTGATTGAAAGATAACCTTCTGTTAATTTTTTTTTCCCCAAGCAACCACAGTAGCAGACACAAATAAGGTTTCCAGGAGCTTGGTAATATACCTTACCTATGCTACATATCCAGATAAACCCTCCTTTACCTATACAGGTGACTGAAAGATTTAAGTATTTCCCTACTGCAAGTCACAGTTTCTCAGAAATTAAACTTTCTTCATAAAAATGTCAATTTTGAACACATTTTACTTTTTTCAATAGAAGACTTGATCTCATTTTACAGTATAGTCCACAAATACTGCTTTAATGCTCGATTTGTCAGTGCAACCATCAGCACTTCAACATACTATGGAATGTGTAATAATCATACAGCAAAGGATAACTTCAGTCCTGCTTAACAGACAGCACTTCATAACAAAAGTTACTAGGCTATTCTGCTAATGTGTTAAGCAGCATAATTTTGTTTTCTCTCTAAGCAGAAGAAGATGCACAAAGTGTAACTTACATACTGATAACTGATCAAATGAAATAATTCTTAGTGAGTTGAAAGTGTTAAACTAAAGGTGCTGAGAGGTAATATGCCAAGTGTGACAATAATAAAATTTATTTTATTTAACAAAAAGGTAAAAAGCCTTCACAAACACAAGTCAATTTAACACTGCAATGTCTCTATTAAATACAGAGAAATCGAAGTTTCAAAAATTTCCTCATGACAAAGTTTGAAAGTATGTTTCTTTCATAACTATGGCTCATAGCCACACTTTCTTAAAGTTTTTATTTTATTCTATAGTTTTTTAGTTTAATTCTTTAGATTAAGCAACTATATGTACTGTCACCTTCCTGTTCTTTAAGTGTGGATGGAATAACTGCCAGTAATTTTAAGAACCAAAGAACATTTTCCAGAGGATGGGTTACGAATAACAGAAAAATTTCGATAGGTAACTCAGAACAAGAAGTTAACACATAATTGCCTAAAACATGTAAAACTTAACACTGAAACCAGTGTACCAATGCACTTGTATTTTGAAGTTCAGCTTAAAAGATGAAATGGTTACAGTAACTATCCCCTCCCACCACTTTTTTGTTTTGTTTTGTTTTTAAAGTAACCTACACTACTTAAGAGATACTGCACTTACGGAAAGTCAGGTGGGTCAAAAGCAGTCTTAATAACTCCAGCATATATAGCAATGATGGAAAGAATCACACAGGCAAGGAAGACCAGTGCAAGTTTGTTGACATACTTCACTCCCACAAAAACCACTACAGCCATCAGAATGATAATACATGTTCCATAAACTCTCATGTTGTTCAGCATAGCCTCTGTTTCTTCCCCAACCTCTTCTGCTTTAAATATAGCAGCACTTGGAGAAATGTAGGTCTGCAAGAGATATGGCAAACTATCATACATGTAATAACAAACATATAATGAAGAAATCATTTATTTAAACTTCAAAATCTAAACTTCTATGACATCAGTTTTACTCTTTCACAAACGAGTGCAACCAGTCAACACAGGCATTTAGGAGGTACAAGGAAGGGGGAGGCAGGGATGAATAAAAACAAGTTTTGAGAATGAGGTACTGCTTTTGATCCAGTTTCTTCTCTCCCCTTTAAGCGTTTCCACTCCTCAAATTCCGGCCTCTGCCAGACAGGAAAAACAGTAAGGATTGGGGG